CATACTTTTCTGGCAACCATAACGAAAGTGAGGGAAACAACGATGGAGACTATATTCTGGATACTACCACTAACGTAGAGAATAGTACTCTTTAGAGTAATAAAACAAATCAAATTGTTGTGTATCATCATATAACCTCGAATATTCCTTACGCTATTAATTAAATACTGATGAAAGACATAAAATTCTTTTTTCTTGGAAACAACCGCTTTTTGTGAACGAACTCATTGCTTAACACTTTGAAACTATTTTTGGCTCTATTTCGGCTCCTTTAAATTCATTCGAAAGTGGTCATCGTCCACTTCATTAAGAATTTCGGAAAGGAATTCTACCATGTGGGTCTGAGTCTCCTCTCCAACCATACTCACACACACCATTTTGTTTTGTCTTGTCATCCTTGCTTTCAGACATTTGAGTAGAAGAAGTATTCATTTTTCTGTCGTTTTCGAAAGATTTCGTTTTTCTCCATTCAACAGATAATCCTTGTATCCTCACTTAGTCCAGCATTATCTCCAATTGCGGATAATGTACTATGAATATTCAAAGTATTTCGTTACATTCAAGCCATATCTACGTAAGTACTACAAATCATTGGCTTGTTTGTTATTTACAACTTATTAAGAAAGACGGATTTTTGTGTTGTATGCACTCAAAAGATTTCTTTTCGACGATGCTATAACTTTGTTTTTCAATCGTTCTTCAAATTTTGGAGAAGCGTCGTTGAGTGTCAATTTTCATTCAAAACTAAAGTTCGATTGACGATTAACGACACATCTTCAAGGTATCAAATTAACTACAATATGCGCTTCAGTCGGAATATATATGATAAAATGACTGATTCGACTATTTTGTAAGGTGGAGGAAATGAAAAAGGATTTTGAGGAAATATATTTCGTTGAATCATATATAATACGATAGAGATGGCGACTCTTATTCCGAATACTACCTTCAATACTTTTCATCTTGATTTAGTTGAGAAATCTTCATAGTGTAAGTCCTCAATAAAATTTCAGTAAAAAGCAGTTTAGAGAAATCGCAAATTTTCGATCACTTTCTCTTACCATTTCTTTTTCAGACTGTTGTATTCTAAATCATGACAAGAAAATGAGTACAACTAATAAATGATCGTTGTTGAGAATATGAAGTTTTTTTTAATGCTACGAGCAGAATTGTATAAAAATAGACTTGTATTTCGTAATTTTATCTATAATTTTGTTATTCGCGAATGAAATGAATTTAAAAATGCGAATCACTACTCAGCACTGAGTCAAATGATATGCTCTTCAGCAAAAAATAGTTCTTTAAAGAAGCATGTCATTTGACTATGCTTTAACCCTTTGAAGACTGACTTTTTATATGATGTCAAGAAGGAATGATTTTCCAACTCGTTCACTGTGAGTTCTTTTATTTATTTCAAAAATAAATTACACAGAGTGTTAGAACTAATATTTCAAGGATAGAAAAATCTGCAGAAGCTATTTAATATAAACTTTAGTCAGCTTCAATATCGTAAAACGTATTCGCACGTTAAATATAGGGGAGTCAAAAGTAGTAGCAGTAGTACTGTAATTCCTTATAAAAAGCTATAAGAAACTTTCTTTCTATATAGCCTAATAGAGAAAAGAATGCTCTATTTTTCTATGCTATTTGATCATACTTCGACTAATATTATAATAATAAAATTTCGATAAGACTTTCTTTTTTGTATCATATAGAACGGTTATACTAATATCTGTTTAGTGGATATTTTTTGAATAACTTTTGATAGAAACAAGTTTTGTCTGAAGTTCGTTTAATCAATTTTCTAGGTGTGGAAAAATGGTTTCTTATCGAAAAAGAAACAGCAAAAAAAACGTGGATGGGTGGGTGTGGGTGTCATTTCTCTCTTTACTCACACCCACACCCACCTACATCCACACCCACACTCGCACACTTCAAGTTTCTGTTGTTCTGCCCAGGTTGAGATTTGAGAAAGCAAAAAAATCAAAATGAATCGGGTCCTTGGTATTCACTAAATGAAGCTAAGCAGTTTACCTCCATCGGTAGTTCGCTTTTTCATGTATAAAGAAAAAACATGAACAACTAAAAATCAAGATTTTAGACCAGAACTTGATGGAAAATCGTCTATTGTGGTTGTCTCTATGGTATATGGAGGGTGTGGGTATAAATGGGTGGGCTTGCGTGTGATGTGCATGTGGGTGAGGTGAGGAATCAGGCTATGGATGTTCTCTCAAACAGGATGTCTCGCGAACACCCACGTCCACACACCTACACCTTCAACCACACCGACACTTCTATTCCACGCTCACCCACACTGAAGACATGTTAGTCGAACTTTTTCTTCTGCAAGAAGCTGTGAAGTTCATTTGAGATACATCATTGTGAACAAAGCCATATGCATACTACTCCAACTGTTCATATAAATAAGATAGTCAGTTATTAATGTAAATGATTCTAGCGTTGTAGATTTTCCAAGAATATGTTGTCATTTGTCTTATGCATTGTTGGAGTACAAAAATAATCTGATTTAATTAACAGGATTCGAGAAAAGCATCGCAAAAAAAATAATAAGTTAATTATAGCAGATCATCAGCAATTCTGTATCATTGTCAGAAAAAAGATTATCAAGAAAAGCTTATATTAATAACTGTTGATTTGCTGATGAAAGAAAATACTCATGTCATTTAAAATCAACAAACATAAACATTACAATTGTGTTTAAAATATAATTACTTTAAGATAGAACTGCGTAAAATTAGAAAACTGTTTAAATGGTTATAGAGCTATTGAGTAATTATTGCAAGTTTTATTGAAATGATAATTAAAGTCTCGACACAATGTTAAAAACAGTTTAAACTGTAGAATACATGGCGCTTTCACTGCTCTCAACCAATTGATACAATCAATAACTTAATGCTTCTTTTCTGATTCTCGTAGCTATTTTATGTGCTGATTAAATAATGTACAGCAAAACTCGTCTACAATAAAAATCGATGCACGTTCAAAAATGCTATTCTAACTATGATCATAGAATTTTATTTCTGAGAAAAATATTTCGTGTTCTTTATTCCATGGTTATTAGATATCTATTTGCAACCAATTTGTATCTAATACCACAACACAAATGTTTCTGCTTGACATGATCTTTGTTTAGGATGTCTTAGTTCTCTAGAAATTATTTTGATATATTTCACTATTGGAACTACAGTGACCATTGCTTATTTTGTCGAGAACTATTCAAAAACGTCGATGTATCAGAGAGTATCCAACAGAATTCACTTTTACTCACTACATAACTAAGAAAATAATTTTCCTTGGTTTAAAATGTTTGCATTATTGACATAAATCGAAAAATGATTTAAAAAAACATCTCTATTAGTAATTGAAATAACATTTTTTTGGATTTTCTGAAATATTTTAAACTACTAGGACAGAGAAATTATTATTCTACCATCGATAACACATCAAGTAAAACATTCTTCACTTTTCTTTATCTCGGATAATAACTTAACAAAACATAAACACATCACATATTCATACTTCTCGTAAAGTCTACAAGTCACATAAAATTCTAAAATAAATGAACATTGACTAAAAAAAAATAGTACTCAAAAAGATAAGTTTAAATACCGTTTCCTTTCGTAGTAAGAGAAAAATTGCACAATCACGATGCAAGTTACACAGCACATTGTCAACAGACAAATCTACAGAAAGAAAAATAAATTTTGATAGACATTTATTATAACGAAGTTTATAGTGGTCGAAAACAAATAATATTGATGGCTGACAGAATTTCTTCGCCTTTTCTGGCATTACCTGTTGAGATTATCTATCGCATTTTGGACAATCTCGATCAAATTTCAATATTGTGCTCAGTTCGTGATGTCTGCACACGATTGAATATGATTACTGACACATATAATCGGTATAAGGCAAATTTAACTTTTGTTATAGAGATAGAACTCTCTTGTCTTGAAAATATTCTCGATTTCGTTAAATTATAATTTTGATTATTTAAAATATTGGTTTTAGTATAGTAATCGTTCGAGAATAATATTTTGAAATTCAAAAAGATATTATCTAAAAGCAAATTGTCATACGTTATTTAAGCATTTTTCAATGACTTCATTTAGTTTCATAGGTTTTCTTGCCATCTTTTATTAAATATATATTTGGGCATTTAGAATTTATCGAACGTTTGTCAATTACAGTTTTGTTTTTTTTTCTTTTTTTTTGTGCTAATAGAGATAACATTAAGAAGTGCTTACATGTTTGATTCAAACATGTGACTAATATTACTACGTTGAATAATGACTCATGCTATTAAAAATATAATAGGGGTACGCAAAAGAATAAAGAAAAATTGTCATAAGCAAAGAACAGGAATGTTGCATCCATAAGCAGCAGGGGTGTTAAAAGAGTACTATGTGTTCGAAAAAAAAAGGATTTTTAAAATTCAAATTTCTAACAACAAGCCACTCGCATTCAAGCATTGAGGAGAGTTACAGAGACGACCTGGATTTCAATATATGAATGCATTATATCAATCATCGACGTAGCAACTTTAGAATCGACATCATTTCGATAAAGTAAATTTATTTAAATTACTAACGTCATTTTTCGACAATGAGTCCCATGTACTAATCTAATCAAAATACTATAGTCTACCATTAAAGAGAATAATACCTGAGAACTTTCCCCGTTTCTAAATATAATTTCCTATCATCATGTGCAATACCTTCCAACGCAGACGATCATCATGAAGGAAAACATGGAAATGGAGACATACCAACAACTTGTCATTTGCCTACACTATATTGTCATCAGTCTTTTCAATTTTCACAAGGGGGTAGCATCAATGACATTTAATTTCACTGTAAATAGAACATAATTGTTCACAAACTTTGCATCGATAAGAATTTTGATCAATGTTTTGCTACCCATCTCTTTCTTGACTATGTCGAATTTTTGTACAGACATTGACTAAACTCGAACTTTCAATGAACAATATTGGAGACGAAGGAGCAAAACAACTTGCCATAGCTTTAATGAACAACAAGGTAAAAAAAACATCTTTTTTTCTACTGTTATCATTCTTTATTATTGTGACTTTTTCTACAGACAATCACGAAAATCCACCTTTCTCAAAATGGAATCGAATGTGAAGGAGTAGAACATCTTGCAAATATTCTCAGCAAGAACATGGTAAAACACAATTTTCTACTTATCGTACACTCCTTTATCACACATTTTTATACAGACACTCACCACATTCGATCTTACAGCGAATGAAATCAGAAACATGGGAGCACAACATGTTGCCAATGCTCTAGTCACAAACACGGTACACTAACATTCACTAGTCATCTTGCTTTTTGTCAATTTAAATTTTCAAACAGACACTCACAACTCTCAACCTTTCGTCGAATATAATCGGTGATGAAGGGGCAGAGTATCTTGCTAATGCTCTCCAGAATAACACGGTAAAAAATGACACTTCTTATTTCTCTCGATGTTAAACATCAACATCTTTGACATAGACACTGATGACGCTCAACCTCTTAGGAAATATGATCGGAGAAAAAGGAGCCCAATATCTTGCTGATGCTCTCGTTAAGAACAAAGTAAAACACACTTTTCTATTCATCTCATTTGTCATTATATTGACGTTTCAAACAGACACTTACTACACTTATCCTTAGAGCAAATGATATCGGAGAGAAAGGGGCAGAACATCTTGCAAATGCTCTGCTAAAAAATATAGTAAAATATCATTTTCTATTCATCTTGCATTTACTATCAGTTGACATTTTCACACAGACACTGACCACACTTGATCTTTCGGGCAATAGTATCAAATCCGAAGGAGCACAATATCTTGCCAATGCATTCGCTAACAATACGGTAAAATACCATTTTTCTATTCACTTCATCTCTCACTATTTTTATTTCTCATAAAGGTACTTACTACACTTCATCTTTTCTCCAATGGAATTTGTGATAAAGGAGCAATGTATATTGCTAGTGCTCTCAATGGAAAAACAGTAAGACAATATTCTCTAATCATCTCAATCTATGTTGTCTCGATTCTTTACCAAGAATCTTACTACACTCAACCTTTCAAACAATAATATTGGAGCCAGAGGAGCGAAAGATCTTGCCAATGCTCTTAGCAATAACAAGGTAAATTGTCTTTTTTTTCATAATCATTTCGGTTTGACTAGTTCGTCTTTTCACATAGACCATTACCGCACTTGATCTTGCAATAAATTGGATAACAGATACAGAAGCACAACTTTTTTCCGATGCCCTTTGCACGAACAGCGTAAAACGCGATATTCTACTGATCATTCTGCTTCCTATGTTGACTTCGTTTTTTAGACACTTACTACACTTGACTTTACAAGTAACCGAATTGGGGACAATGGGACACAAAGCCTGGCCAATAGTCTTACCAATAACACAGTAAAGAATGGTTTTCTGTTGTTTTTACTCTTCACTGACTTGATATTTCACATAGACACTAGTCGAACTCAACCTTAGCGTGAATGTAATAGGACCTATGGGTGCCGAACACCTTGCCAAAGCTCTCGCCATCAACAAAGTAAGAAAAAGTATGTTTCAATTGTGTTGCTCTTCGCAATGTCCTACTTTCACATAGACACTCACGACGCTGAAACTATTCGCAAATTCGATCGAAGACATTGGTGCACAAAATTTTGCTGAAGCTCTTATTAACAACACGGTAAAACACTATTTTCCTTCTCATATCACTCTTCATTAAACGAATGCTTGACACAGACGCTCACCACACTCGACCTTTCAAGCAATAATATTCATGTGGAAGGAGCACGACACCTTGCTTCTGCTCTCAACAGCAATACGGTAAATATTTTGTTCTAATCATTTCGGTTTTAGTTCCTTGATTTTTCACACAGACACTCACTACACTTCTGCTTGCGAGGAATAGAATAGGAGACAGAGGAGCACAATGTTTTGCTGACAGCCTCACCAAGAACACAGTAAAACGCTATTTTGTATTTAAATCACTTTTAATTATCTCAATCTTTCACTCAGACACTCAACACACTCAACATCTTAGGAAATCGAATTACAGCCGAAGGAGTGGAATATCTTGCAAACGCACTCGTGAATAACACCGTAAAATACTGCTCTATACTCCAATCACTTTTCATAATCTTGAATTTTTTATTCAGACACTAACCACACTTGACCTGTCGGAGAATCGAATTCCTGATCTTGGGGCACAACATATTGCCAATGCCCTCGTCAACAATAATGTAAAACTTGATTTCTTTTTTTTTGCCCATATCGCTTTTTACTTTGTTGAATTATTATGTAGACACTCACTACACTCAACCTTCGATTGAATAAAATCAGAGACGAAGGTATACAACATCTTTCTAATGCTCTCGCAAGCAACACGGTAAAAAATCAATGTCTACCAAGTGTATGCTTTATTTTCTTTTATTTTTCTATAGACACCGAGGACACTCGATGTTTGTGGCAATGGAATTGCTAAAGAATAAAACGGTGCAACCTAAAGTCTTCGAAAATACCTTGTTTTAAAAACACTCGATTGATGATATTTTATTTGCTGAGAGATGTTTTCAAATAATAAAACAATCCTTTTTTTGTAGTGCTTGTTGTACAGAGAGATATTGTTATGATGTGATAAGATTTTGTCTCGTAATATGTTTAATTTCAGAAATTATATGTAAAACATAAGTCTATGTTGGATTGTTTTCAATGTTGAGCGACTATTTTTGATATTGTCGTACTCAGGATTTGTATGATTGATACATAATGAATAATGATTTCTTTTTTCAATTTGCGAAACAATCAATTGTATTGGATTCATAGCGTGTTAGTAACACACTTTAATATCTGGGAAGCATACATTTTATGACGACATTTTTGTAGGAAGTACAAATCCAAAAGAGAATAAACAAAGATAATAATTTCAATGAGAACTTAAATGATATATAGTTCCAATCCAAATTGATTGTACTGAGTGTCCCAAAAGTTCGACGTGAAAGTAAACTCGAATAACTTCACTATTTATGTAACTTAATTAGCTAATTTTTTTTCTAATGATAGGTAGTATTGTGAAGTTCTTTTTGCCACAAATCAACCTTATATATGTTGTTCAAAGTTATTAGATTCGGTTGGAATATAACCAGCAGTCGTTTTTATTTGACTGATGAAGAAAATCATTATTCAGTATTCCTCTTTTTCCTGTTCCAGTATTTTTCAGTTAGATCGAACAGATTTTGGGCTACCATTCCCGTGTGTCGCTATTAAAAGAAGACTATTGAGGTTAATTCTGATGATCACGAAGCTTTTGAAATCTTCTTATATTTTTGAATGATGACTTGTAATTCGAAGACGTGAACCGATATTACGAGTTTCATGACCATCAGATTCGACATCATTAGTCTTCTCTTAATAGTGACATACAATCATAAATATGTAGAAATGTTAGCCCAGAATCTGTTCAACCTAACTGAAAAATACCGGAGTAGGAAAAAAAAGGAATACTGAATAATGATTTTCTCTATCAATCAAACGTGTTCTCAAAACAAATATTCTTTTCGTTGGTCAAAAAAAGAAAACATTTATAAGTAAAGAATATACTCAAGCCTAACAAAAAAATATTGTCAAATGAAATCCTTCGGTCACTTTGTGTTCAGAATATGATCTGTTCAATTTTGATAAAAGATGCTCGATTTTAGTTGAAAAAATTCTATAGTTATTTTTCAAATAATTAACATTAACTCTTACTATAGTAAAAATATTACATTTAGTTCATAGATAAAAAGAAGATAAAGATAATGATTTTTCTTTTATAATGTTTTAATACAAATCAGAATAAAATCGTATTTTATATGTTAAATATATACTTAAGGGTGTGGGTTGTGGGTGTCATTTGCTCTTCATACACTCGCACCCACATCCACCCTCATTTTCTTAACCTTTCTTTTTCAGTTTAGATCATTCTAACAGATAGTGTCGTATGCATCAATGAATTTATTTCATGACAAAGAAAAAAAAAAAAACTTTTGTCTTTTTTTATAAATTTTGTTGTAGTAAATATTGATTATGGATGATAATGAAACAATAAATAATACTGATTCATACGATTATGAAGATGAAGAAATAATTATACCATCACCTCAAGTACAATTTTGGACATATCTTATATTTCAAATTCCATCACTTGCTTGTACTCTATATCTTCTTTATTATTTATTATTTTAGTCGAAAATTACGTACACAATTAAATAATCATGTTGTAATTGTTCTACTCGCTCTATGTTTTATTGTTTTAGTTATTGATCATTCATTATATCTTGATGCATGAAGAATAGTTCATGTAAACTCATTTTCAT